TAAAAATGCTTACCACCTTTATAAAAACCAAAGTATATTTTTATTTAAAGTAATGCACATCATAATGTAGAAAATATATCTAGGTTAACTGAATTCTCTTCTAACATTTAAAATTCCCACAGTTACCGCCAAGAGAAGTAACCAGATACTAGTACTTTTAACAGAGTCACTCAAACAGGAATTTTGAGAGGAATGTAGCAAAGATACAATAGTTAAACAAAAACAAATCAGAGACATATTTCAGCTGAGGCCCATTTCTATTTTAAAAAAAACTATATCACAAAAACATAAGCAAAGCATAGTACTGACATAGGAGAGACACATCAATAAAGAAATAGAATTGAGAGTCCAGAAATAAACCCTCATATTTATAGTCAACTGATTTTCTTCAAAGGTTCCAGGACAATTGTATATCCTTATTAAAAAAAAAAAATTGAACATGCACATATTCAAATCTTATACCCTAGACAAAACTTAACCCAAAGTGGATCAGAGACTTAAATGTAAGGGCTAAAACAACAGAAATCTGAGAAACATAGGAGAGAATCTTAATAGCCTCTGGCTAAGCAAAGTGTATTTAGAAAGATGAAAGTCATGAACTTTCAAAGAATAAACTGATAAACTGAACTCCATTACAATGTGAAACTTTTGAGCTTCAAAAGACACCATTAAGAAAGTGAAAAGTGAAATGACACATTACAGACTGGAGAAAATATATGCAAATCATATATCCAATAAGGGACTTATAGACAATAACACAATATAAAAATATGCAAAGGATTTGAATAGACATTTCTCAAAGAAGATATAGGAGTGGTTAAGAAGCTCACTGATTGAATAACTACCTCAATTATGAGAAGATAAATTTCATAATTGTCATCTTTTGTCCTTTTTGGAAAGCTACATAATAAGATGATTTCATTAAACTCCAAAGCATGTTACTTTGCATTTCTATACCACACTCAAGTTGTAAATCACTGTAAAAAAGTTAAAATAGCATCCAAATTAGACAAAAAAATAAAACCCCTTCTATTCACAGATAGCATACTCTAGTATTTAGAAAATATTAAAGAAGTCTACACTCAATAAAAACTATTAGTACTGATAAAAAAGTTCAACAAGTTCAAAGATCAATATACAAAAATTAATTGTATGTCTATGCACTAGCAGAGTATACTCTGAAAAGAAATTTTCAAAAATGGGGCCTACCCTGGTGGTGCAGCGGTTGAGCGCTGGGCTGTGAAGCTGCCCGCAGCTTCTACAGCACCGGTTCCATCCCCGGCCACCCAGAGAGGGTCCCACTTGGCGCACAGACCTCTTCTGCCGCCCACTGCTCCCCTCAACAGTGTACTTCGTCTGTCTGCCTGTTCTGTTCCCCAGTCTGGCTCTGGTGAATCCTCTCACCCTCCCACGCTTTGACTGTACCCAGTGCTTGTATAAATAAATAAATAAATACATCTTTAAAAAAAAGAAAAGAATTTTTCAAAAATGATTGCATTTATAAAAACATCAAAAAAGTAAAAATATTTATGAATAAATTTAACAAAGTAGTACAAGATTTGTTCCCAAAACACAAAACACTGTTGAAAGAAATTTAAAAAGTGGAAACATTCCACCTTCTTAATCAAAACTCATAATATTGATAAGATGACAATATTCCTCAAGTTGATGGAGAGGTTTGACACAAACCCTATCAAAACGTTGGCTCAACATTCAAAAATCAGTACATATACTCTATCATTTAATAAGCTACAAAAGAAAAAAAGCTTATGATCACACCAACAAAGAAAAAACACCTAGTAATAATCTAACACCCATCTGATAAAACCTAATCTCACACCCATCTGATAAAACCCCTTATCAAACTAGGAATAAAGGGACAATTCCTCAGTGCAATAAACAACACCTAAAAAAAAAACCCTACAGCTAATATTACACTTAACAGTGAGAAACTAGTTGTCTTCCTACTAAGATCAAGAATAAGGCAAGGACAGTCCCATCTCACCACTCCTATTCAACACCATAATGGAAATCCTACCTAGTGAGATAAGACAAGAAAATAAAAGAACAAGAAATACAAATTGGAAAGGAAGAAATAAAACTGTCTTTGTTCACAGATGACATGATTGTCTATGTAGAAAATTTCAAAGCAAAAACAAAACCAAAAAAAAAAACCTCTTGAAATTTACAAGCAATGATAGCAAGTGTGCAGAATACAAAGTGAATACACAAAAGTCATTTCCATTCTTATAATGGAATGGAACAATCCATTAAGAAATGGTATTTGGGGGCCTCCCCGGTGGCGCAGCGGTTGAGCGCTGGGTTGCGAAGCTGCCTGCAGCCTCTGCAGTGCTGGTTTGATCCCCGGCTGCTCCCCGGCCACCAGAGGAAGGTCCCACATGGCGCGCAGACCTCTCCTGCCACCCGCTGCTCCCCTCAGCAGTGTACTTCGGTCCTTCTGCCTGCTCTGCTCCCCTCTCTGGCTCTGGTGAGTTCTCTCACCCTCCTGCGCCTCGGACTGTACCCAGTGCTTGTATAAATAAAATAAATAAATAAATTTAATAAAAAAAAAGAAATGGTATTTGAGCGCCTCCCTGGTGGTGCAGCGAGTTGAGCGCTGCACTTGAAGCTGTCCGCAGCCTCTGCAGTACGGGTTCGATTCCCGGATGGCCAGGGAGAAACCCAATGGCGAAGCAGACCTCTCCTGACTCGCCTGCTGCTCCCCTCAGCAGTGTCTTTGGTCTATCTGCCTGTTCTGCTCCCTGCTCTGTCTCTGATAAATTCTTTCACCCTCCCACGCCTCTGACCTGTACCCCAGTTCTTGTATGAATAAATAAATCTTTTTAAAAAAATTTAAAGAAGAAATGGTATTTGAAGTTAACACTATACTATTTATATTAGTATCAAAATAAATTAAATACTTAGATATATATCTAACAAAATATGTACAGGGTGCACATGAGGAAAATTACAAATCTCTGATGAAAGCAACCAAAGAAGATCTAAATTAATAACCATTCATGTCCCTGGATAAGAAGACTCAACACCATCAAGATGCCAGTTCCACATGACCTGACCTATAGATTTAACAAACTCAAAATCCTAGCAAGTTACTTTGTGGATATTGATCAACTGATTCTAAAATTTACATGAGGCGGTAAAAAGTCTAGAATAGCCATTGCAATATTGAAGGAGAAGAACAATGTCAGAGTATTAATGTGACCTGATGAAGATTTATTGTAAGTTACAATAAGCAAGACAGTGTGGTATTAGTGAAAGATCAGACCAACAGATCAATGCAGTAGAACAGAGAGCCCAGAAACAGATCCACACAAATATAATCAATTAATCTTTGACAAAGGAGCAAAGGCCACTCAGTAAAGAAAGGAGAGGCTTTCAACAAACGGCACCGGAATTACTAGACAACCACAGATAAAAAATGAATCTAAACAAAGCCCTTATACTTTTAAAAAAAATTAGCACAAAAGAGATCATAGGCCTAAACATAAAATATAAACCTATAAAATTCCAAGAAGATAAAATAGGAGAAAACCCATACGACCTTGCGTTGGCACTGACTTTTTCGATAAAACACCAATAGTCCATGGAAGAAATAATTGGTAACTTGGACTTCATTAAAATTAAATTATGAGAAAGACAAAGAGAATGAAAAGACAAATCACAGAAAAGGGAGACAATGCTTACAAAAGATTTATCTGATGAAGAACTGGTATCCAAAACATATAAGGAATGCTAAAAACACAATAATTGAAAATGAACGACTCAATATTTTAAAAAGGGTTAAAGATCTGAACAGACACCTCACCAAGGAAGACATACAGATGATAAACAAGTACACAGGAAGAGCCTCAACATTATACATCACCAGGGAACTGCAAGTAAAAAGAGCAAAGAGATGCCACTGCACACATATTAGAATGGCTAAAATCCAGAACACTGACATACCAAATGCTGGGGAGGATGTGAGGAAACAGAAACTCTCATTCACTGGTGACAGGAATACAAAATGATACAATTTGGAGACAGTCTGGCAGATTCTTACAAAACTAAATATATTCTTACCATATAATCCAGCACTCATGCTCCTTGATAGCTACCCAAGTGAATTAAAAATTTAAGTCCACACCAAAAGCCTGCCTATGAATATTTACAGCCACTTTATTCATAGCTGCCAAAACTTGGAAGCAACCAACATGCCCTCCAATAAGTGAATGAATACACTGTGGTGCAAACATACAATAAAACAATTATTCAGTGTTAAAAAGAAATGAGCTATCAACATGGGCCACAAAAGACATGGAGGAACCTCAAATGCATATTGCAAAGTGTAAGAAACCAATTTGAAAGGCGACACACTGTATGGTCCCAACCATATGGCATTCTGGAAAAGGTAAAACTATGGAAACAGTGGGAAAAAAAATCAACAGTTCAAAGATTAAGAATTCAAGGCAAGTTAGAACTCAGGGGATTTTTGGGCAGTGAAACTATTCTGTATGATAATGTAATGGAGGGCTAAGCATTATCCTACAGTTGTCGAAGCCCATACAACCACAATACAAAGAGTGACCCTTACACACACCACAGACATTAGTAAATGATACCATAATCAATATTAGCTCATCGGCTGTAATGAGACCACATTCCCGCAAGAAATTAACAATCGGGACAAATCTGGCTGGGGGGCCTCACTGTAGCCTCATTTCTTTCTGCTCATTGAGGCTGCTCTGGGTGGCTTCTGTGGTTTAGGACATATTTGTGCCTCCTCCAAGGGAGAAAATGAAAAAGGAAGACAAGGAGAGGAAGACAACCAAACACTGTACACAGAAGTTTGTCACAATATACCCGTCACTGATTCTGCTACGAGCCTCTCAAATAACTGAGAACAATTATTTGGGGCTGTCTCAAAAACACTTTCTGGAATGAACCAAACAACTTTCTTTCCCATCCGACCCCATCAAGTTGTTCTGTCACATACCAACCTGATTTTGCTTAAGCTCTGGTCTGTCTTTTCAGAGGAGCTTTCTTTTATGGATTTTCCATCCAGCAAATGCTTCTGTTCCACAGCTGGGCAGATCCGACCACAGCATGCTCGACTACAGCCCACAGCAGTGCCCCAGAGCAGCTCCAACCTGCAGGGCAAAGGCCAGAACCCATTACAGGGATGCATATTCACAAATGTTCCCTCTCTCTCAAGAGTGCAAGTTTAGCGAAATAACCCCCAAGAGCTTCTAAATGTTTAAAAATCATTAATGAACAGAGATAACAGCTTATAAGGTGTCCTAAAGACAAGACTGAGCTATTCTGAAAAGTATTTAATCATTACTGAAAAGGTTTGGCCAAATTATTATGCCCTGTTTGTGGAAAATTTAAAAGCCAGATGTTTTAATTAACCACAGAAAAGACGAGCTACAACTGAAATTTCATGAACACACTGATCTACCCTGTGGAAAACCACAGGAATGTTCTGGCAAGGCTCAGTCTGAATTCTTGGGACACAGAGGCCTGGAATCATTCCCCCCAGGAACTCGAATAGAAAATTAACTTGCTCAATATGTTTTAAAAAGTAAAATGAAACCCAGATTTAATCTCAATCAAATAAAAAAACATTTCAGGACTTCAAAGGGCACCACCAAAAGATCCAAAAGGGGAGGGTCATAGAAAATTCCAATGTGGTAGAGAATCTAGAAGGTACTTTCAACACAAAGTGAGTAGTGTAACATAAAATTTTATAGGCTAAATAATCTAAGGAGCAAAACGAATCATCTTTCATTTCCTAATAGAGCAAATGATATATGAAACCAAAACTCAACAAGTGAATCACACATATTACCAAATGTATAATACATTCAGAAGAAAGAATCTCTGAACTAACCTATTTTGTGCCAAATCTGTGGCCTGGCCCACACTAGCTACTTGTCAGGCTTCAGCCTGAGGAATCAAGACATCCTGAAAAAGTATAAAAATACCTTATTCTCTCTGATGGTGCAGCCAGCAATCTGGCATAGAAAACTCAAATGAGGGAATCTTATAAAAAGCATTCGTGAACAATTAAGAAATAACAGATTATGAAGTCTGTTAATTATAGTAATAGTTATGACAAAATCTATACACGCTAAATAGTGAAAACCTATTCAAAGAGAGAATAAGACAAATGCTATTTTCAGAAATTAAGTCCACAATTCTATTTTTGTTAAGTCAAAACAGACCCCATCACACACGAGCCAAGCATAATATTACATTAATCTCTACCTTCATTTGAAACTACAGTCTCAAAGCTCATCTCCAAAGGAACACAGCAAGAAGAAAGCAAGATATCAGATAATAAATGCATGGTACAATTCCAATTTTATTCTATAAACTGAGCATGTATAATCTAAAGACACCAAAGTAGCTATTTCTAGGTCATGGAATTAAGAGCTATTTGTATTGCCTTCTTGTTTTTCCAAATTTTGTACAATGAATATGCATTTCTTACATAATTGGGATATCTTTAATTGAGGTTTTTATTAAATAGTATGGGAATACAAATCAAACATGGGATGTCTATACTATAGTAACCTGATTGGTGGTTTTCTGATTACCTGAACAATAAGAGCTAATAATAAGTTAAGAAATTTTTATTTATCTGAACTCAGTAATTTTAAATTTTGAACTTCAAAACCCAAGTATCCAGCAACACTTCCAGGACTGAACAACAGCACTTTTCTAGCAGTAAGAAATTTTTATTTGTTGTTCTGCAAAGTCACAGAGAGAGTTATTTCCCTCCCTTAACTAATAGATGTAAACTTCTCTATCACTGGAGGCACCATACACATACCGCTTAGTTCTACAGAGCGCCTCCTAGTTTTACAATTTCTCAGTATCAAGGTCTTTGGTGAACATAACCACACTCCTTTTCTGATACTCTTAGCATCTCAAAAAACCCAACAGCAGAACTATAACACTGAGGGACTCGGTAATCCATCACTCTAAGAAGTCCTCAGTTCACAAATGAGGAAACTGATACCCAGAGAAGTCAACTCTCTTTCCCGAAGCCACAGAGCCAGGAAGCAGGTCACTTGCCTCCACGCTGACCATGTGCTCCTTCCACCGACAACGTCTCAGCACGCACCCTTCCAAAAACAAATTTATAGGAACCACAGACACGTTCAATTCATACGAGCAAAACCAGAAGAACAGGCATAAATTTGTTTCACAAAAAATGAAATGTGTGCAGGAAAACAAGCAGCGCCTCGACCACAGATGTGGCTCTGCCCAGAAGAAACCCAACTGGAGAGACAATGGTCGCAGTGTACTCGGGAGGGAGGTGTCCTGAACAAAACCGCTTGTCACACCGAAAGCCTCCTGGCCTAGTGCTCACCCACTGATTGCAACACATTCCCAATGCTCAATGCAGGACCAAAGTTTCCAACCAGATAACACCATGCTCCTATGGTGCCACCTGCAAAAAATAGGAAAGATGCCCCCCAGCTTTGTAAATAAGTGATTTATGACATCGAGTTCTTCCTGAATGACCCAAGTCTTGGAGGAAAAATTGGTTTCAAAAATTATGAAAGCAACAGTCAATAACAAGTAAAATAAAATAGTCCCAATGCTTCATACCTTATGCCTGATGCCACCTACCAGAGGGAGCAAGACCTTGTTTTTCATTGGAAATATGGCTCACCACCACGTCTCTCTCAGCTGCTATCTACAGTGAGCACACTATACCAATTCAACACCTAAGATGCTCACAAAATGTGAACAGACTGAAAAGCATGGGAGAGAGTGGGACAGATGGCAGTGACAAACTCAGAAGGCTCCCTGAAAGCCCTTTATTGAGCTTGGTCCTCGTCACCCTCTCCCTACTGTGCAACAGGACAACAAAGGCTTCAGCTGTGTGGCTGCTCATAAAAAAAAGCCCCATGGAGGGATGATGTGATGCTTTGTAACAGCCAGAAGAAACACAATGGCTCTGTACCCCCTCATCTGAGAAGTCAGGCACCTGGCAAAAAAAGGAAATGTTTTTTCACCACCCACAACCACTGCTAAAGTCACCTCCCTTACTCCCCAACATATTTCCATGGCTGGGTTCTGGAAGGAGCCCAGGTTGGCAGTTCATTTCCTTCTTTGCCTTAGTGTTAACACTAAAGGCTAATGTCCACAGTGAGCAAAAGGAATTAGGTTCTTGTTGCTATTCCACCAGGCAATGAAAAGCTATGTGCTGAGTATTGTTCAAGTAGCCCTCTGACGTCATTACCTCTCAAGGTAATGAGAGGAAGCTTAATTTTAGCCATCTGGTAGAATGCACTGACCTACTAATCAAATGGGATAAAATCTGCCGAAGTCACCAAATTATTTTTCTCAAAAGAAGGCCAAACAGAAATTAGAATTAGACCAGATTCAAAGATCTTGAAACCCTTTCCTATTTGGAACCTTGGCTGGCTGTCCTTTGGTCTTTAGCTTCAATGAATGCCTTTGGCAAGATGTGTACCCGGACAGTGCCAGGATTGAGAATCTCAGATGTTTGGTTATCTTCTATTTTTCTATTTTAAAGTCACAGGGAAATATCAGTTCAGCCCATTCAACATTTCTAAAATTTCCACTTCAACATGACCAGAAGACCTGGGAAGACTATACTGGAGAACATTCCCTTCACACCTTGGAGATTTTATGTTAAAAACTTAAATTCACAGTATTCATAAATTTACATCTTACATGTTTGGGAGAGAAGAGTATAAATTTATTTGAAATAATGAAGCTAGTCTTTTTTTTTTTTTAAGAATCTATTGTAGGTACCCATCACAGCCATCCAAAAAGCAGTTGTAGAGAATAACCCAAATTGGTACACAGCAAAGGTACCAATTTTGGTAAAGGTCTTGCCACCCTCACAAGGAAAGAGGATTTCAACTGGGGGAACAGAAAGAGTAAATTTATGCTTTTTAATGTTATTAAAGCTTTCCTAGAAAGAACAAGGGATGAAGAAATTAACACATTTATAAGTTCGGTCCCAGCTCTGCTACTTATGACCCGGGGCTTTCTGGGATAACTAATTCATTCTCTTTAACCTTTGTTTTATCACTCATAAAACTGGGATGTAACCATCAGCCAACTTCATGGAAGTGTCACTGATGAAAACAAATATGAAAGCATTACAGAAATTTTTCATGCACTATGTATTCATTCAACAAATATTTACTAAGAAATTGCAATGCTACCAGATATGGCAATGTGGATACCACAATAAACAAGAAAGCCTGTCCCTTTCTGCAAGGACCCAGGCTAAGAGACACAGGGTGATCTTAAGCAGTCAAGGGCAATGGGAACACGAAGGCAGCCTCTACTCCTAATGCTAGACAAAAAAGGGCTTTACAAGTCCTTGAGGAAGTTTCTCAGTGAAAAGTGGTAAATGTGGTTTTAGCTTTGATGGTCTAACTGTTACCTCTTCCTTTAGTACATTTTAAATGAACACCCACTATGTGTCAGGTACTATGCTAGGTGCCAGGGATTGAGCACTGAGCAAAGTTCTGTCCTAATGGAGCTGACATTTCAATCATTCTTACTGGTATGTAAAATACATGAAGTAAACAGATTAGAGCATCAAGACTGCTTCTGCTGAAATACAATCATTTTCTTAAACCAAATTATCCACACACACACAAGTTAAAAGGATATTCTAATTGATCCAAATACAATAAACATTTTATTTCTTGTTTTAATCTCCAGCCACATTTCACAATATGCCAAATAACTGCCATCACATGAAAGGCACTCTTAGATTTGAGGGATTACAATTTCTGTGTGTTTTGGCAAAAGGCAAACACTCTCCCCATTTTTTCTAGTGCCCTCCCCACCCCTCTGTAAGGAGAAAAAGAACACAGAACACATGCTGGAAACCAGCCAATAACAATCCCGGTTTTAACAAGGGTAATATCAGTTATTTTAGAAGCATTTCCTGCAGTCATTTTTTTTAAGGGTAAAAAAGTTGAATTATTTTTTAGGAACTGAAATTCAATTTTCACATGCCAAATGTCTGCCTTAGCAAAGTTTATTTGAAAAATCTGTTTTCTTTTTAAAAGAAGGGGGAGCTGAGAATTAGGCTATCCAGGACTCAGTCAATCTAATTATCAAAAAATTCAATATGGGCTGT